GAACAAAATGTGTACAAACTGCTGTATAGAAAATGAATTTGCTCTGTAAACTTTCACCCAAATCACAATAAAAATTAAGAAACATGACAGCCTAGAAAACCTGATGGCGCTGCTTTTCTCTGTCACACGGGGTTGCTGTGAGTCAAATTGGATGGCACCTAACAACCACAGTGTGGCTGGGGGATGGTGAGTGACCTGCTGAAGCTTGGGCTTCTGTCAGTAACTGTCAACAGGGCTTTGAGCCATTGCAGAATGAATTATGATAGTCTCATAGCAGGCTGAGTGAACATCCTAGTTGTTCCAGTAAATATTTAACAAATAACTTTTTTTGTTTAAAGAGACAAATATCTCCCTATTTGTATAGTTCTATGGCTCTTTCCTGCCAAGTCTCATCAAATTACTGTATTTTCCCACATAGTGCACATAATAAACATGCAAGGGCATTCTGAGTTTGTAAAAAACAACACGTGCATTGTTGTGTAAAAATGGTACTCTTCACAGCTGCTACATTTGGTTATGTCACTGTGGACCAGGTGCTTCGAGGAACTGCTTCATGATTTGAAGGCCATATTGTTAGCTATTTAAGACGTTAGATTTAATTAATAATTCTGCTTTGTAAAGTTTAAGTAACGAGCAGCATAATTGAATGTCACATGAGACTATTGTCCCTGAAGCAGTTTACTAATAAATCTAGAATTAATAAGAGTGAGCACCTTTTCATGTAATTTGTAACTCATGTAATAATGAAGATGAATGCAAGACTTAGAGTTCCAAGGGATAGAGATTGGGACCATGATAAGGAAAATACAGTATTCCAGTATAAAGCTGTGCCATAATTTATATATCTTATAAATAAATAAATAAACAACCAAATGCAGTGCTGTTGAGTTGAATCTGACTCATAGTGACCCCCACCCTGGGTTTCTGAGGTGGTATCTATGGAAGTAGATTGCCCACTCTTCCTTCTGAGGAATGGCTGGTGGGTTTGAACGACCAGCCTTCTGGTTAGTAGTCAAATGCCTTAGGCACTGCACTATTCCACTGTTAATAGACTGGGATTATTCTTGGTTTCCATTCACCTGTCTTAAACATATGAGAAAGGTTCTTTAAGGCATGTGCTTGGAATGGAATTACTCTCAAATGTAAGGTGCACATGCGTCACTTGGGGATCTTGTTAAAATGCAGATTGTGATTCACATACTGCTGGTCCACGGACCATACTCTGAGTCAAGTGTGAATTTGCTCATTCTTATTAGGTAATGAACTCTCACTGCCATCGAGTCAATTCTGACTCATAGGGCCCCCATTGGGTTTCCTAGGCAGTAGAGTAGTGCCTAAGGCACTTGACTGCTAACCAGAAGGCTGGCAGTTCAAACCCTCCAGCCACTCATTGGAAGAAAGATGGGGCAATCGACTTCCATAGTGATACTGCCTCGGAAATCCAAGGAGGGGTCGCTATGAGTCCAACTCAAGGGCACATAACAACAACAATAACATA